CATTAGATTCGAGAGGTCCTATATTAAAAAATCAATGTAAAAAATATATAATTTTAAACATTATATATAATTTTGAATTATTATACAGAGATGCAGATATTTCTCGTAAACTTTCGATATTTTAGTGATACGTCTTTAGAGAGAGAAAAATTAAGCAGAGTAAATATAAATGTCAAAAAGGAATGACGATGCCGAGAAAGAAGTTTCGTTTATGATTATACAAAAAGTTTTTGTAATTCTTTAATATTTATAAGGATATTTTCGAGAGAGAGACGAGAAGAATCTGTGTCTACACGATATATCCCTCCAGGGTTAAGTGGCCCTTAGAGCTCTGTCTCTGTTTCGTGGGTTTTTCGACGGCATCGACCAGTTTTAAAGCAATGAGTCATCGCAGACCATGTGATACCCACTCGTTCTATGGATTATCTGCGCGTATATATAGGGTGTTTCTTGTCAACGGCACTTCCTTTCAATGATAGATATTACTATTACAACTCGTAGAATCTGAACTTAAAATATTAAATAAATATTTTACAATAATATAAATATGTTAAATAATAAATTATTGCTTATTTTTTGAACTTTAAAATAAAATATGAATATGAAATAATTTTTTAGATATATATTTACATATAAATAATTATATACAGTATCTGTCGTTAAAAACAGGTTTAAAGGAATGCATTATTTATACAGAAAATCGAATGTGCATCATCCAGAAACTTTCTGCAACGCATATAATCGTATTTTATTTACAAACTATTTTTACAAAAGAACTCCCTTTCGTGCGCTACGATGCCTCTTTAATTACTCTTCCTATAAGCACATCGCGAAGACCTCCCTTAGGAAATCTCTCGATGCGTTACGAGCGTGTTTCGATCTCGTTCTTTGTATAATGTCGCTTTGCCTCCGCTTGAAGATTAATTCGGGAAGAAACTGGCCTTTTAACTTTTCGAGGTAAATCATTTTTGTGTCACAAGGGAAATCATTTCTGTGCTATTCTTATTTTTATCAAGAATGTATCCGTGCTTAAAAAAGTCATGATAAATTTATGTAAAATTCTTCTTTTATATTTATCTATATAAATATTTATATGTTAATTTTTAAAGCACGAATATTTATTTTACACTTATAAGAATTTATACGGAATTTTTCGACAGATTTACGCAATTACGTTGTTGCGAGAATTATATCTTTCAATTTTTCTTGCGTGAACGACATGTTGTTATCTGCGGTTTACGCTTAATATACTTCGTGAATGCGTCTAGTCTCGCTTCTCAGTCGGAGATGTAATTCGTTCTTTCAATTCTACGGTATGAATCATCGTCGTTTCCTCTCTCGCGTACTACGATCACGACGTAACATTCTGGTCGGTACAACGAACGCATTACATCTCGTTGCATTTAGTTAAACGTTGAACTAAGAAAATCTAAAGATTAAAATATTTTAAAACATACGACAAGATGTGGGTTCTTATTTTATGAAAGAAATTTTTAGAAAATCTGAGAATTTAAAAATTCAAAAATTTAATCTAAAATTAAAGTTTTATCGTAGGATTTTTTTGTAAGATTTAATTTTTTTCCCAAATCTTGACAATCTGGGAGAGTATTTTTTAAAACTAGATGTAACTTATATTTACTCATATTTCTATACTATTCTATTCCAATTTCTCGATAATGACATATTGTACATCCTTGATATCGTACATCCTGCGTGTTTGACACGATGACGACGTAATCATCCGCTCTTCTCATCAAACGTGTTCGTTCGTTTATCATACAGTCGATTCTTTTATCGGTTCACGGATTCACATGTGTGCGCGATTCACCGGCGAGATATTGACCCTCTGACCGAGTCGCCGAGTCGTTAGAATGATTTATCGCGTCCGAGCGGTAGATGCGAGTCGAGCAAAAAAAGGAACGAAGGGAGAAGAGATAATTGCCGTTCATTGCGTTTCGAATCTGCCATAAACGATTGAGGGCTGCTCGGGATGATTTAAGATAATCGCGTAGTAAAGAGAGTATGTAATGGTTCGAGTTTTGTTTATTTAATAGTTAATAAAATTGTTAAGGTAATACTTAAAGAGTCGTTGTGTAAGTTGGATATTCACGTGTGGCTAACGATACGTAAAACGTCCGGTGATCGGTAGATCAAAACGGTAGATAAGAGATAAGAGAGTGGAGTGAGATAAACTAAATCTTAATATTGATATTTGTGACAGAATTAGAAAGAAATTTGACGTGCTTCTGAATGAAAATAATGTATTTTTTATCTTAACTTGAATGCAAAAATTCTATAATAAAATAAAAATTGCAGTCTTGATTTAAAAGATACAGAAGAAGTGAAAATAAAAAGAGTCTATTCATTTTCGCTTTTGAAAGAATCAGAATAAAAAAGTTAATAATTCGGACAAAATTTCGTATGTGCTGATCGATATTAATGTGATTTTATTACTAAACATGTCCATAAAAGCAGATAATTCAATTGTCATTAGTATTGTAATTTGTAAAACATTATCCTAGAATAAGCGTAGAATTCTCATTAGCCGAATATTAATTGATATTGATATTCAAAGCTTCGGGTCATGTGTTTGTTAGATAATAGTATTTGATCGATAATATCTAAAGGGCGACAAGGTCGTCCTGCATTTCATAGCACATCGTTTTCGGCAAACGAACAGCTTTGTATGGTTTTCACTGAAATGAGATAACCGCTAATAAATGCATAATCTAGTCCTCTTGTTACTTTGATAATGTAGCCTTTATCGTGTCACGTACGTATCAATCATCGATTTTCCGGCGATTAAATTCTCATCAGACCGAGGGAAGTACTTAGATTAGTATGCTCGAGATACATGTAATTTCTATTCTTTTTATGACATTGATTACGTTGATTATTTTACCTATTAATTATAATTACACAATTAAGTACTTGCATTTTCTTTCGTAACATTAAGAATGCAAAACAATGATAATTACACAATCACGATTATCTATTTATGAAATTATACATTATTAATGCTACACGTAAGAGAGACTAGAAAATTGCTTAAATAAAATTTTCCTTGAAAGAAGAAATTTTAAGTCGAATTCTTTCTAGACTATTTTTCTGCCTTGAAGGTTCGAAATTTACTTTTTTTACTAATTAGCAAGAAAAATTTTTTTACCTGGATATTTTGTGAAAATATCCTGTGTGAAAATGCGTTGTTACATATCAGAAAGATTAATTTTCTTTTCACAAAACGAGAACAATATAAAATATCTTTAAAAAATAGAGGGACCCGTTGAAAATGTAGATAGTTAAATCTCTGGCTTATTTTCTCTTCATTCACACAATATAAAGATTTAGGAGCAACAGTTAAAAGATTAATAGGTTATATAAAATTTCTTTGTTACTATTTTGCATGCTTTCTTTTAATTGTAAGTACATTTCTTTAATAAATTTTAATTTGACAAATTTATTCATTATTAAAAAAAGTGTGTATAAATATATTGTAATGCCTTCAGAATTCTTCAATTTTCCTGTAGACGTATAAATTAAATTACTGTTAGCAAAATAAATTTGTTTGGTCAAAAAAAGTTCTTTTTTTAACTAACGTATGTTTGCTCTGTGTTTTTTTGGTACTGAAATCACATCTACTTTGCATAGAAACTAAGAACGTGTTAACCATTCTTTTACATTAGAAGTTATTCGAAAATATTCAAATTTAAGAATACACGGACATATATCTAAAAGATCGATGGTACGAGTAGATACAGCACAAATATCTGCAAACAGGTATCGAGGTATTAGTGTGAAGGCGTATGCTTCTTCCTCTTTTCTCTTCTACCTTCTTCTCTCGCTACTTCCTATAAAGCAATATAACTTCGTAAACTTGTTTAATCGAAATACTTTAGGAACACGTTTTAAAACTTTGAATCTGCAAGAGAAAAGAAATCCAAAGTCCCCCTTAAAGTATCTTCCATTGAGAGAATGACAAAGAAGATGGAAGACGCTATGTGCTGGTCGAAACATGCTAGAAAATAAAAAAATTATTTTTCTTTCCTGCACGATATGGCTAAGGAAGGGAAAGTTAATCTTTTCCAGAAAGGAAGCGTATGGGGGGAGAGGGGAGGGGGGCTAATTTATCGAAACACAATTTGACCAATGGAAACGTAATAGTTATGTTCTTTCCTGACCTTTGACCTTTGCAGTGACCAAAGAATGCGGCAACTATTGTGATCCGATCAGTCTTTGTATTGACACGTATTGCATCCCTCACGTATCTCGACGTGCCTCTATTTGATAGTTTCTGCGTGATCTTTAACGATATCGACGCAAGTTTCTTTTTTTATTTGTTGGGAAAAGCGTGACGAGAATTTCTGCAGATATCATAATTTACTCGTGCATTCCAGGGCCATTCCTACACACAGAAAAATACATACTATATACAAGTAAATATTACTTGTTTCAAGTATTTCATAAGTTCATATATCCGCAAATCTATCATAAGTTTATCATAAGCATCAAATTTATTCAAAATATATTCTGAATCCTAATAAATTTAATACTTCAATCAAGAATATTAAATTATATAATTGAAAGAAATACATTAAATTTTTCTGATCTAATAAATTTTCTTACATTAAATTAACCATATCTGACTTTTCTTTGATAAAATTTTATAATATTCTTCAAAAGAAAATATTTACTTTTTTTGAGTACATGATAATGAGTATTTCTAAAATTTGTGACAAGTCTATTTTAAGACTATTATTAAGAAAATATTCTTTGTTAAAGATAACTGTTACTTAAAAGAAGTAAAGTAAACTGAGTAATCATTTTACTTGGCAATAGAATAATATTTTTCTGTGTGTAGGTATTTTTCCGCACATTTGTTTGAGATAGAAGGAAAGTGTATGTACGACAATGTTTTGGTTGAGAAACTAATCTAGTTGTGGCTGATCATCAAGACGCTTAATCGACAGTTTATTGAAACGTCACGCTTTTTTTGATTTCAGCCGACAAAATGTCTGTGGATAAGGAGGAATTGGTGCAGCGCGCGAAGCTTGCCGAGCAGGCGGAAAGGTACGACGATATGGCGTCCGCGATGAAGGCGGTCACCGAGACGGGAGTCGAGCTGTCGAACGAGGAAAGGAACCTGCTCTCGGTGGCATACAAGAATGTCGTAGGAGCGAGACGCAGCTCGTGGCGGGTAATCTCCTCCATCGAGCAGAAGACCGAGGGCTCCGAGCGCAAACAGCAGATGGCCAAGGAATACCGGGAAAAGGTTGAAAAGGAATTGCGCGAGATCTGCTACGACGTATTGGTGAGTGATACCTTTCTTTTTTTTTTTTTTTTTTTTACCTGCCCCAAGTATATCTTGCAGGTATCGGTCGCCCTTTTCTGTTGGCCGACAGAATTCACTGTTCGTCTAAAAATAAAGTAGGTAAAGTTATTCGAGTAATGTATTTATTTGGAGAACATCGCCAGTTGCGTTGACTGTAATATTTATTTTTTGAGTTGCCGAGGAATTTTATTAATTATTATGTTGGTTAATTTTAATGAAAATCTTTTCTCGTAAAATGCCGACGAATATATGCGTCTATGTATAAAAAAAAAAAAAAAAACAGCGATGGCTAGAAACAGTTTTTATTTTTGTCTTTACTCCGATCGGTGTTCTCGTTTTTTCATCACATAAACTGCTTCTATACGTAATTCGCGCATGTGTTTGCCCGGCGGTCAGGCTCATTGTGTCGCCTTGCCGCTATTGATCGTAGTCGCTCTGGACAAGAAAAGCCGACGACATGAACGATAAAAGACGAGGCGGCATTGAAATACGGGGGAAAAAGCCTCGCTCTCGTTCGGAAAGTAGGGAAAAAAAGGAAAAAAAATGCGAGTTGTGTATTTGTCGAGGAATAAACGTGTTTGAACAAAGGTCTTGGTGCGACCTAGATGACGGATGACGAGCTTTTAATGCTCCTCGCCTCGTCTTGTGATATAATTCCCCGATAACACAGCAATTTCATTTTTAGGATGTGTAAAGAGAGATAAGGAAGTAAAAATTTAATTATTATTAAAAAATGAATTTGACAATTTTGTGCTTTCTTTTCGTTTTTTTTTTTTTGTTCGCAATAATTTTTTTTTCTTCTGCGTACTTTGAAATTGCATCATTGCATTGCACATTGGGATACAATGTCGATTCTCGCTGTTTTGTCGCTAAATGAAATGATAAAAAATAGTCAAGAGTTATTTTTGGGCGATATATTGACGCGAGCCATCACACACGCAATTAAGCCGTAATAAGGTTAATTGAGGGGGCTCTGTGGGTCTTGATAAAGCGAGCTACGTACGGCGGAACTGTTTGGGCGGACCTTTTCCTTTGTGAACTACCGCATAACTTAACATGATTTGTTTAAAACGATCCGTTAACGACAAAATTCGTTAGATTTGTAAATTCTCGACATTCTTCTCTCGTGTATTAATTTCCTAATTTCATGTCTTCTGCAAATATGTTTCATGTACTTTGATTGTATAAAACAAAACAACAGAAAAAAATTTGGATTAATATATATAAAAATATGAAAAAATTAAAAACTATTTAATAATTTTCAACCTTAGCTTTTTTCGTGCAAATTTATATCAATAATTTATGTATCTATTTTATTGTGTGTTCTCTCTAGTCGTATTCTGTCTATCCTTTTGACATTTCTTCCGCCATGTATCTTAATCATTTATAGCGTGCGCATATTAATTTTTCACTGCCGCATGATTTCGATTCCCTCCGAGATCTGACTTCACAATAAACGATCCATCAACATACCAATGATGCATTCGCGATAAACGTCGGCCAGTGAACTCGGCGTATTTGTTCGCCGTCCGGGATGTTAATTTACGCCCGAAAGAATGGGATTTCTGCTGATATGTTGGCCGAAATTAATTTTCCGTCTCACGCACACGTGATGTTTCTCACACCCGGATTCGCGATATCGTGTTTCAAATAGTTGGCACTATCGCGAGTTTTCGCATCGGACACAGTGCGGACTTTATATTGTAGCAATATATGTCTAGTTTTATCGCACATTCTTGCGTTATGGTTAATAGTAATAAATCAATTTCTAAAGTCTGCGAAATCGCGGGAATTACAACACATAACAATGTTATGTCTTTCGCATATTTACTTGCCACAAATTTAGTCATAAAAAATATTTAGTAATTGAATTTAAATGGGGACGTACTTACTAAAATGATTGATTTAAATAAAATAAAAGGCCATAGAATTAATATTCATATGAGTAAAAAATTTGCAAGATAATGCTTGCGTTAATAATTTTCTATCTATATCTTGATGTTGGAAATTTTGGATGATCAAGTCGCATGTATTAAATTCTTGATGAAACTGTCATATGTCATTTTATTAGGTTGTTATTCTCGTAGCTAATTATCATTCTTATCTAAAACAAGTATATCAGGCTAAACATTCTTTCCATACACGTGTCACATATCGCCAAGATATTTATTGATATCGATATCTAAATATTTATCATCCTTACATTATTGAGAGTACTTTTTTATATCATAACGGTGTCATGTGTACAATTAGAAAATTAAATTTTCTAAAAACTTTACGTGATATATTAATAAACTATTCGATTAATTTTATTTTTTATTTTTTATTTTTAACAATTTTGAATTCAATTATATTTCAGAATTTTTTATGTCGATCAAATCGGTAAAAATAAGAGAGAGACGCATCGTTTTGCTGCGATTTCCGCATTGGTAAATTCGTTACCGCCTTCTTTTCTCTCGTAAGAAGGTATTCCGAGAACAGCTCCGGTGCATTCCATTTCTTTTTTCGCGCCGTTGCAGCCGTTGTAATGTTTCCTGTTCTCCATACATAGCAGCGAGCTCCGAAAAGGTATCGAGGAAAATTATATACCGTTGAGTAACCGGCGTTTGCGTATCTAAGGGGTGGGGATACACTCCTAGAGTTGCGATCATAGACATAGTATATCTAGACCGAGCGTTTGCCTTTTCTACGTGCACCTTGGCCCCCACTCCTCAACACTCGGTCTAGATATACTATGTCTATGGTTGCGACAGACGGTAAACAATCAATTTTCTATAATCATAGACTGATGATTTCATTCTCACATAAATTAATCACCATTCTCGAACATTCTTCTACGCCTAAAATTCCCACGAACGCTCATCTGAATACTTATTCAGTTATATTAATATTATATGAATCCTCTTTTCTCTCTCTCTCTCTCTCTCTCTCTCTCTCTTATCTTTTTCATGAATATTTTATTATGGAATAGAAATTAGAAAAGAAAGATACGCGTAAATTTTTATAGGTTTATTTATTATTATTTTTTTTTAAATAAAAACATTACACACACATATAGAAAAGAAAACAACTGTAATATTTTTGACACGTGCACACAGATAAAATGGGAAAAAGTAAAAAAGATTGACAGGTTTATGAAAGAAAGCTGCCGCCGATAACGAGAATTCGCTTTCCCATATCGATTCGTCGTTTAATCGCCAGAAAATATCCGCTTTCTAACGAAATATTTCTTCGTTTGAAAGAATTAGAAATGTTAATTTTAGGCGGGACGCGTCTAATTGTGCGCCGAGTATTTGTTAGCGATTCGTTACTACATCGTCGACACGATAATGAAACGAGGAAATGCAGTTACGAAAATATCCTCTTTATGTACTGCGAAGTCATTAGCATGGCTGCTTTGTCAGAAATATTTGTGCGAATTGTGTTGAGTTCTTTATTCAAAGTTAATTGCATTGTCTAAGCAATTGTCGTGTAAAATAATCTGACTTGTAGAAAGTAATTATGAGAAATGTGTTTTTCTCTCTCTTGAGTTATCTTTTGTGTAGGTGACTGTCATAATATTTTATATATGTTAAAATCAATTTAAAATTAAAAATTTTAATTTTAAATTCGAATTTTTTTTAGATGTATAATATAACTTTGATTTTCAACATTAATTACTAATTAAAAAATTCTTTTCATCTAAATTCTGCTAAAATAAATTACAACAAGATTTTGTCTATTTTAATTTTTCGTTGAACTTTAAATTAAAATTTTTATAGTGAAAGAATTCGGAAGAAATCGATTCCGGTAGCAGACGCACATTCTATATAATAAAATGTCAACATGGGGAAGGATAAACTGAATTGTGTACCGGGTGTCTTGCCTCGAGCATCGAAACTCGTTTGCAAGCAATATACCCGGTTCTCTTCCGCGCCTGGGAATCATCTTACGTAGTTGACAATCTTCTCGTGCGCGCTTCCTTACTCTGGAAGATGAAGATCATCCTCCGGATTGGATTTCAGACGGATCAATTACAGCTTCTATTCACAATTTTCTTCGTCGTAGGAGCGCCCAGTTATCTTATTTTTTTCTTCCTGAAAATAATTTGCGTATTATTCTGGTAATGTCGATACTAACATTAAAATAATATTAAAATAATTCTCTCTCTCTCTCTCTTTTTTTTTTTTTATTGTTCAATCGTATTATTTATAGTAACATTTAATACGAAGAATTGCGTCTATCTCGTTTCTTAAAAAATATTCCAGTTCTTTTGATTATACAAAATGATTCAAAAATTTAATTATGAATAATTTCTTTTTGTTTCTTCTTACTAATACTTTATACATTGTTTTATTTTTTTAATTATATGTCATTGTTTTATTTTTTTAATCTCATCTTTCAAGTTTTAATCTGTTCTGTGAGATGCTTATTGCATCACACCCACGACAGGATATTAAAGCACGACCTTTAGCTTTATATAAAAACTCATTAAACTCTGTGAATTATAATCCGTCCAATGTTTTTTTTACGATCCTCGGGATTTTGTCTAATCTCCGTTATCATTACGTGAGCCATATTTTCCAGTATCCGGAAATAAACGGAAGAGGAAGCGGGACACGCCTGCTCAGACGGACGTACCTCGAACTGCCGGAAATGGCACGTTCCGGCTCGTAATGGAGTCGGTCCTTTCTTTAAGGGAAAATTAAATTCGTTCGAGATCGTATCATGTTTTATCAAAAGAAAAAAATATTCATTGTCTCTTTTCTTTTCATGTTTGATAACGTAAATGTCATAATTCTTTTTTAAATCTAGGTTGACGTAAATCTGTAAATATTTCTAAATATCAACATTTTTACACATTTGTTTATTCATTAAATAAATAATAATTGTTTATTCATTAAATAAATAATAATATTCATTAAATAAATATCAAAATTTGTTACACATTTGTTTATTCATTAAATAAATAATACGAATATTTTAAATAAAGTAAATAATGTTTTCACATTATCGCAACTATCGCTTTAAATTATAAATCAAACGACATTTTAATTATTTAATAGATTTTGTAGAGTTTGGTCGTAAACCAGAGTTAATTGCAACGAAAGTGTTATAGGGGGATGGATGGGTGGTCAGATTTGACTCGTGAGATGCACGTCAAACGGTGAAATTGGAGCAAGGTTGCTCCAGCTGTGAAACACAATCGTTGGGCGATCGTTCCTGTTCTCGCGCTCTCCTATGCACGTCACCGACGATAAGCGGTGGCACCATTGTACTGCGCCTCTCTTGACGCAGCCAGGTTTCATAGAAGATCACTTTACGATTTAATAAAAACTGAGATATCTTTAGCTGAATAGGCATGGAGACAGAGAACGTAAAAAAGTCGATCCTCGTTTTGTCAGTTCATCGTGACTTCGCCAAACGATAGTTTTAAAAATAGAAACAGGAAGCTGTAGTAAACAGAAAAAGAGACAAAAGAATAATTAAAATCGAATGCAGCTTGTGTGACATTTTAAAATGGCATAAAAAATCGAAAAAGATTCATTTATAATAATAACTTTTGAATCGAAATTAATATTATTTGTCGCAAAGTTCAATTATAGATAACGTAATTCTTCATCGGTTTTATGGAGAGAAACGCATTTCGATAATTTATAGCCGCGATTTTATTTCTCCCTAAAGGGAGAATAAAGTCGTCGTAGGAGATTAAAAATTAATATAACTGCCAAGATCGTAAGTTACAAAACCGGTCTTTTCTCGTCCGCGAACTCGATGTGCGAGAGAGCCATTACAACTCGATGACGATGACGTACAAACGCGGTTACTTTTTTTTTTTTTTTTTTTTTTTTTTTTTTTTTTTTTTTTT